CCAGCACGTCTTGCACCTGTTGCCCTGGCCCCTGCTGGTAGGTGTGCAGCTCGCCTGGGGCCCCAGCAGGGGTGGGAGGAGGGGCTGCTGCTGTTGCTGCCACTGCAGCTGGTGCTCCTGCTTCCAGGCATCCTCCATTCACTGTGCTTCCTCTGCCCAGGCCTCATGAAACAGTTCTGCCGGGCCTCACAGATGTTATGCAGCACACAGGCTATTATGCAGACTTGAGGCGAGTGTTGAGGGTGCACCAGCATCCCTTGAATTGGCTGAAGGCTTACTCTATCAGGGCACGGGTCTGGCTGAGACATTGGTTAAAGTGGGTATGACGGGGGTCTAGATGGCTGGTGTAGGGCCACATGAGCCAGGGCAGGAGTGGGCAGGCAGGGTCTCTGATGAGGAGGGGAAGGACCACTATGGTACCTAGCTGGAGGTCTGGCACCCCCGACACAAAGCGCCCACTCTGCACCAGGGCGGAGTTCTGAAAGATGCAGGTATTGTGGGCACTGCCCAAACAGCTGGCACTCACATTGGTGAAGGTACCACAGTGGTTGACAGTGGCCTGGGGTACAATGGAGTGAAAGCCCTGCCAGCTATAGTAGGGGAAGTCACTATGGGGTGGATAGGTGCCAGGGATGTGGGTCCCATCCAGGGCCCCGATGCACTGGGGGAATCCAAGCACATGGAACCCCACCACCACCTCCAGGGGGTCATGGATATGGAGCAAAGTGTGCACCACCAAGTCCTGGAGGGTGCTGCACACCTCCAGGGTGGCCTCTCCAGCAGTGGCTTTGCCCACACCAAAGAGGTGGCCCACATAGTGGAAGCTGGTGGACGTGGCTAGCTTGACCAGGATGATGGCCAGCTGGGTGTCTGCAGGGTGGGGCTGCTGCATGGTGGTGTCTTGCTGTTCCAGGTGCAGGTAGAGCTGCTCCAGGAGGTCCAGGAAGGTGGCTTGTGTCATGTAGAAAGCGTCCAGCCACTGCTCATCAACCCAGGTGGCCTGGATGATGTGCAGCCACCAGTCCTGGCTGGCTCAGTGGGCCCATAGGTGGTGGGGCTGGACGCCCAGGAAGGCATGAATGGTCCTAGTGGTGTCATTCAGGTGCCCATTGTTGGCATCCCTGCCAGGGTCCGGCTAGCAGGACAGGGTCCAGGCAGCAGCTGCACAGTGGTGATGGCTTTGGGATGGTGTGGTGTGGCTGGACAGGTAGTTGCTGCACATGGAGGAGCCCAAACAGCTGTGGGCCAACTGCTGTGGCAGGCTAGCAGGGCCAGCATGGTAGTCAGCAGGAGCCCAGGGTGCTGGGTATCACTGCCA